TTGTTTGTTGTTTCACTCAGCAATATTCCAGCTATCACAGCAGTCTGTAAATAATCAAGTCTGACAAGACAATCCAGTGATTGATATCATGAGCATCAATCCACACAATTTGGATGCCATGAAATGCATCAACCAAATCAGCGAACCTGACCACCCGATCCCATTTGTCGCCTCTTACGACAACCATAATCCCCCTTCACGTCAAGCATGGGTTGCTGAAGACGTATTCTACGAGTGTAGCTATGATGGCGAGGGGTTCCAGAGTACTGATCATACAACACACTGGGTACTCAAGGATGCTGTATTACAAAACAAGTTCTACACAGTGCACATTCCCAACTCTCATAACACAAGGCACATGTACATATTAAATGTAAACTAAATGTATAAAATATATAGCTACATATAAAATTATCATTGTATAGTTTGGCGGGAAGTAGATTGTTTTCCTGAAATGAGAAAAAAAGTCAAAATCTGTTTGACAAGATTGAAATATTTTTGAACAGAGCCTCATAGTGCATGATACTCAAACAGAGCCTCCTAATTCGAGATACCCAGAGCCTCCTAATTCTTGATACTTGACCAGGGCCTCCTTATACATGATACTCAACCAGGGCCTCCTAATTCTTGATACTCGGAGCCTCCTAATTCTTGATACTTGAACAGAGCCTTATAATTCTTGATACTCGAACAGAGCCTCCTAGTACATGATACCACGGACTTGTTATATAGGTCCGTCATGATACTCAACCAGGGCCTCATAATTCTTGATACTCAAACAGAGCCTCCTAGTACATGATACCACGGACTTGTTATATAGGTCCGTCATGATACTCAACCAGGGCCTCATAATTCTTGATACTCGGAGCCTCATAATTCTTGATACTCGAACAGAGCCTCCTAGTACATGATACCACGGACTTGTTATATAGGTCCGTCATGATACTCAACCAGGGCCTCATAATTCTTGATACCCAGAGCCTCCTAATTCTTGATACTTGACCAGGGCCTCCTTATACATGATACTCAACCAGGGCCTCATAATTCTTGATACTCAGAGCCTCCTAATTCTTGATACTTGAACAGAGCCTTATAATTCTTGATACTCGAACAGAGCCTCCTAGTACATGATACCACGGACTTGTTATATAGGTCCGTCATGATACTCAACCAGGGCCTCATAATTCTTGATACTCAAACAGAGCCTCCTAGTACATGATACCACGGACTTGTTATATAGGTCCGTCATAATACTCAACCAGGGCCTCATAATTCTTGATACTCGGAGCCTCATAATTCTTGATACTCGAACAGAGCCTCCTAGTACATGATACCACGGACTTGTTATATAGGTCCGTCATGATACTCAACCAGGGCCTCATAATTCTTGATACCCAGAGCCTCCTAATTCTTGATACTTGACCAGGGCCTCCTTATACATGATACTCAACCAGGGCCTCATAATTCTTGATACTCGGAGCCTCCTAATTCTTGATACTTGAACAGAGCCTTATAATTCTTGATACTCGAACAGAGCCTCCTAGTACATGATACCACGGACTTGTTATATAGGTCCGTCATGATACTCAACCAGGGCCTCATAATTCTTGATACTCAAACAGGGCCAGCATCAGGATCATATATAGAAGGGATCTTAGTGTTCACGTTACGCTGACCTCATTCATTACATGTCGCTATACTTCATTTGCACTTTCATTGTGTGAGATTCTCCATGTTCAGTTTGCCAAGGAAACGAGGGCGCTGCTATCACCTACTTTCACAATCATAAGTCACGGTGGCAAGAGAATGGTATCTTAGCGTAACAAATTTTGAAAGTAGATTCCTAAAGAGTTATTAGAGCTACCCTTAAGTCATAACCTCCCTCGACCCTAACCTGTGTTCAACTAAAGACAACCCAAATCTCTATGAGTGAGTGAGTATGGTTTTACGCCGCTTTTAGCAATATTCCAGCAATATCATGGCGGGGGACACCGGATATGGGCCCAAATCTCTATGAATTTAGCCATTTTTTTATAGTGGTGCGAAAATATGTCTCCCCTGAGCTGTTTCATATCTATAAGGCTCCATGCAAAATTCATATTCTACTCAAAAGAAGTTAAGGACCGAGAAATTCTTTCACATTCCTTTAGTTAGTGTGTAATGCCATGACAGATAGCCTATAGTGATATGAAAGAATCGGATGACCCTTACCATCTTTTGAGTAGAATATGATCACATATGTCATATTTTGACTTATTTTCCAATTGAGTCGACGTTTTCCTGCCAAACTTAAGATGGCATCAGGACAACGTGCTGACCATGCCAAGGTTCAAACTGGACCCACTAACAGCACTACTGATACATCATCAGAAGCTTTCAATGAAGATGTTACAAATATTTTTGTATCATAAATGTTCAGGATTTGTAAAGACTCAAATATCACACTGTCATTTTTTGGCTAAAAACTGTTCTCTAGAGCCAATGATGCATGGCCACAGGACATTTCATAGTATGACATTAATTGCGAACTATGACATTAATCGATCACAAGTACCATTGATGGACCAAAACCAGATCAAGTAAACTACTCGACATTCTCGAAGGACCCCACCTTTAACCAAAGATGACTATTTTGGCCCTTAGCAAACGCTGAGTAGTATATATATTTAAATCCCTAAGATGGATCTGACCCTTTTCACTTGTTACAGTTCAACTAATTATTATTCCTAGACAATTTTCTTCAAACTTCAAATCGAAATTCTAATTTTTTCCAAAACGGCCAATACAAAAACTTAAGTCAGTGTAATTCAGTCTCTACAAATTCTGTGCAAAGCAACAATTTCTTACTCTAAACCAATATAACAATGTTCTACCCATTTTATTAGTTCAACACCCTAGATTAAAATCAGTAATTAAATTGTTAAATTTCCTCAATACGCACAAAATACATCTTAATGATAGATAAACAAAGTCATTGAACTGAAACGTATCATGTACAGCATTGCTTGCCCTAATTGGATAACAGAAGCACTTTAACATCACAAACAGCACAGTAAGTTGCAACCCAATTACAAACTCATCCTCAGCAGACAAGGAGATAGACTCTTGATATGTTCCGATTAATACCCCTGGGGCCATTGTGTGCTGCAGTATTGCTGGGGGCAGCATTAACAATGTTTGATGGTTTGTTTGTTTTTTGTTTAACAGCAATATTCCAGCTATATGATGGCGGTCTGTAAATAATCGAGTCAGATCCAGTAATTGACATCATGAGCATCGATCCACAGAATATGATGACATGCATCAACCAAGTCAGTGAGCCTGACCACCCGATTCCCGTTAGTCGCCTCTTACGACAAGCATTAACAATGAACAGGCAAAAAACATGGTTGACAGCCAAGATGGGGGATATAGTGTCATATTAACAGTCATGGACCCCCCCAGCTTCTAATTAGATTTTATCACAGGGAGTGAGTTGGGTTTTAATGCTTCTTTGAACAATATTTCCGTTATATCAAGGCGTGTCATCTTAATGTGGGAGGAAAGCCTGAAGTGATGCATGTCTCAGACGTTCACCACTTTGGTGAAACCAACTAGCAAGGGTATGGTGCTGACAAACTTATAACATAATCAGGACAAACTGCACACAGAGAGAAAGACAGCTTACTTTTAACTGCCAAATGTATCATACCATATTTAAAATACAATAACTACCAAAGGTGTATCACAAACTTTAGAGGTTGTAGCACTTTTTGCAAGTTTGTCATCAACGATCATTACAATGACCAAACAGTACCAATGGGAAGGAAATGTCTTAATAAAAGGGATTTTATTTTATTTGAAGTTATATTTTCAAAAAGTGTTGTGGCACACTGACTACGTAAATGTAATGTCAGTGATGACATCTTTCTAAATTATAGCCTCCATACTTGCTGGACACTCTACACATGCCCAGATGGGCATATAAATAAATACCTTCAACATATCTTGTCATTTCAGTAAGCTAACTGAGCATTAAAAAAAAACTTGACAAAGTCCGTCCATTCCAAAAACTCCTTATTTATCAGTTGTATTACTAGTTTTGTGGTTTTATAGGAGTGGTTCAGGGATATTAATTGGAATGTAATAATAAAACACCCTGACACCCTGAGGATGGTCCAAACTTTGCATCACTACTGAAGCTTTCACCATCATAAAAAACACACACACTGATATCAAGTTTTGTTTTTGTAAACACATTTTATCGACATTCACATACACTTTGTATCAATGAATAACTTAAACCTTTGATTGTAACACTCTTGTGTGACCATAATCACAGAACGGATACCACAATACTTTACGTTTGATTATTACTGACACAAAATCATTGAGTGAGGAATCAGATTAGTTGTCTTAAAGAGATAAGAGCAATAATATTTGTTGCTTCTTAGAGTTAAAGATCATATATACTACTCAAAAGAAGTTGAAGAACACCCCATTCTTGACTATAGTTAATCGGTCATGGCATGACTAATTAACTATAGTTATGAAGGATTCCGGGTTGTCCTTATACTTCTTTTGAGTAGGATAAACTGAAAGCACAATTTGAAAATTAAAGCCTACTTGTTACTTTCAAAGTAAATTGGGGGTTAAAAAAGACCCTTCTCTTTCAAAAAGATCTGTTGCCATCGCAATGGCACCATAGCTGAAGAGACGATATGAAAGCGAGTCATGTGACCTCGGAGACATAGTTTTGAGAGGTATAGGTGCACGAGACAGATAGCTGTTTGTTATTTTAACCCTACTATCTTGATCAATAGCAAAGAATGATTGTCAAGTTACTTCAATGATACATGGTCAAACTCATTTTATCTGTAATCACCTTGACCTTGACCATATTTCTTAACAGTATTGAATTTAACCTTGATAAAAAACAACTAATTTTTCATTGTTGGTCGAAACAAAAAAATTATACCAATTAAAGTTAACAACATGGCTGTGTCTTTTTGGCCATTACGATTTGTTTCAAGCATCAACAAAATGATCCCTTCCAAGACCATACTACAGGACATATAAATAATTATTACAAAATATTTTGATCAATTAACGCACTATGACATGCCAAGGCAAATGGATACATTTTACATTGTGTTGTAAAAAGGGCTTGCACCCAGTCGTTGAGTAACAGGATTACTTTGTCCATGAACCCGCCGAACTTTACGTGCGTCATCGGACCTTTCATCTTTTCCTGAATCCAACAAATGCTCATGAGATGATGTCAAGTCCTCTGTTTGGTTATGAACTTTAACCTGTGACCCTGGGTCATGCTTAGCTATGTGGTCAGCTGATTTGGGCCGCACTGGTCTTGATGTTTCAAATCCTGACTGCTTCCATCTCATTTCAACACCAGTCATACTATCCTCCTCATCCTTCTTCTTCTTACTGTCCACAAAACACAAACCAAACTCTCCAACTGAGCTGCGATTCGACCGACAACCCTCTGTCGAGTCTGACGTCGGGCTTTTAATGTTCTCGAAACGCCCAACAAGGTGACGCACAATTGACAATTCTGAGTCACTCCTCGGTGAAATGTTCCCGTTTGAATTGTGATGCTCATCATCCTCAGAACGGACTGCCTGCTCCTCCAGGTTCAGACACAAACCAAGTCGATTCTCTTTGAAATCTTTGTCCATCATATCTGAACTTTCAAAGCTGGCAGAACCACCATCTTTAACCCACTGCCGGGTCCTCCTCAAACCTACGCTTCCACTATCATCAAAGGATTTGCTTTTTTCAGAAAGAGGCTGAATTCCTCCTTTGCCAGCTGCTTCTCCCTTCTTCCCTTCCTCTATGATGATTATCTTCCTCTCAGGTTTCTTCACCTTCGTGTCCTTCTCGATATTCCGGACAACCTGCTTGACCAAAGTCAAATCCTGAACAACTTCTTCCTCAGGTTCCTTCTGGGGTTGGTTGAGAAACTCGGATCCCATTTCTCTCATTTTAGCACGAATTTGAGGATCAATGGAGCTTTTGTCTTCCTTTTTACTTTTCTTTGAAACACGGGAAACGGGCGGGATCTCCGGTTCCAGTGTTTCCTTCCCCTCCAAAATTGACGTCTGCTCCCTGACAGTTCTGATAAGTCTTTCCGACACAACTGAACTGTTTGAGTATTCTGTTTGATCACAGGCAGAATTGGATGGAATGAAGTCAGAGGTCGGGCTACTCTGGTCAGAGGTCTGTCCAGACTGTCTGGCCAAGGGTTGGTCAGTGTCTGGGCCTTGAGGTTTCAGTCCAGGCGTGTCATCTTTAGTTGAATGCTGGGAGTCATGGGCTTCTAATGTCATGGAAGATACGCTGCTCTCGGAGGAAAGTCTTTTTCTTGAGTCTGTGTCATTCCGGTTCTCGAAATCTGGAATGGATGGAAAACACTTGTGTGAGTTTATATCAAGGACAGTCAGTGAGTGAGTGAGTGAGTGAGTGGGTGGGTGGGTGAGTGAGTGAGTGAGTGAGTGAGTTGATTTTACGCCACCTTTAGCAATATTCCAGCAATATCATGGCGGGGAAAACCAGAAATGGGCTTCACGCATTGTTGGGAATCGAACCCAGGTCTTCGGCATGATGAGCAAACGCTTTAACCACTAGGCTACCCAACCGCCCTTATCAAGGACAGAACCTGATACTGATGTGATTATATATTCATGCTCATAGACACACTAGTCTGCTAGTCAACTAGTCGGTGAGGCCCATGACAAGGGACCATTTGTTACTTTACACAAACCACTGGTGAACTGACATTCTAAAGTTATTACAGTGTGAAAACAACTAAATTACGTACTATGACAACTAATAAATGTTAACAATGTCGAAAGTAGTACACACAGGAAGTGTGTGTGTGTGTGTGTGTGCGTGCGTGTGCGTGTGCGTGTGCGTGCACAAATTCAGCGAAAAACACACTACAAACCTTGTTTATGTTTCTGCACAAGACCCTTTGCAAGTGGCACCTCTTCATTGCCACATTTGACCACAGTGATGTTTTTCTCGTTATCGCTGACGTCCCCTTCTTCAATAAACTGAGATTCTGACATCTGCGCACTGCTGCCATCTTGTTCAGGTAGAGTTTCCTCCCTTTGACAGTATTCTGGGAGCATGTTTCCAGGGGCAAGGTTTCCGTCACAGAAGGGAGCTGTCTGAGTGGGAGACATTATTGGAGAGCAAGTCTTTCGACGTTCGGAACGTTTGGACTTTAAAGATTCTCTTTCCTCTTTGAGACTTGCTGACCGCTGTATGGGACGAGATTCTGTCGATGACTTGGAGTCATCAGAAGATGTTCTGCAACCCAAAAATATTATGGCTACATCCTGGTGGTCAAGTCAAACTGATGGCTGATCATGTGGTCAAGGTATGGTCACACATAGCAAAGCACCCAGTACTCATCAGTCAGCCTTTAAGCAGTGTATAAACTACCCGCCTGTCCGACACTCCAAGACTGAAGGACGGTCACTTTTGTAAAGTTGCACACCCGATTGTCAGGCTATTATGGTATTTCCAGCATTCTAGTCTTACCGTATTTGACGAAATAAGCCCCCCGCTCAAATAAGCGCCCACAGCCATATTTGCTAATATATTTGCTGGTGAACAATCCCAATTAGCACCCTTTCCAATTGATCAATGTACACAAGACTCATTTATTCGTGTATAATATGCACTCATGTGTTATATGCACCCTAAATCATGGGCAATTAAATTTTGGAAAATATATTTGTCATGTATAATACGCACAGACATTTCTTTTGTATCATTTCAGGCTGTCAGTATAAACCATGAAATTTACAATCTTTCAACTCTTTTCTCTCGCCAAATTATATTGTAATAAGAGCCCCCTATTTCTAATTCAGAGAGCGCTCTGGGTGCTTATTACGTCGAATACGGTAGTTCAGCCTAAGAGGTAAATTAATTGTAAACATTAAAAACATTATTGCTGAAACAAAAGTTCCATGAGTTAAAGTTCCGATGACAATCCACCAGGTTATTGTTATTTTCGAAGAACAAACATTAATCAGCACTATGCTTGTTTACCCTTTTCTTAGTTTTGTTTGTTTGTCTACAACATTCTGGACTGGCAACATGTTATATGGGCTGGTAACTTTGCCAAGTTGCCAGTCCGGTTGTCTGACTGAAACGCCTCTAGTATTTGATTAGGCCATCAAAACGTACGTGTCTCTAATTTACCTGTTAGCTTCCAGTCTATCCTTGAATATTCGGACCATTCCTTGAGGGAGCTGGATATCTTCTTCCTCATACACAGACTTGGGACGCCTCAGATCCAGTGCAGCAAATTCTGCCTCATCATCATCATGGGAAGGTAACTCTACACAGCTTTGTGTCAAGCGTTCAGAGTTATCTCCCTTTGGTCTCATCTCGGGTGGACCAGTCACCTCCATAATGTTCATCTCCAGGACTGGGTCATCCGTGGTGGGACTTTCTCGTTTTGATTCTTTCTGCCCAGATTCATTTTCCTCATCAGAGCTATGAAGATTTTTACTGAAGTCGGACCTCATTTTCTTCACCGTGCCTGGACACCAGGGTATTTGTTCACGGGTATAGTATTGTCGAATTCCCAACTGCCCCATTTTATCAATCATCACTTTATCACCCTCCTGGCAAGCAGTGGATTCTGAAACTTTGTCATCAGGGACCCCTGCACCCTCTTCTGCCTTCCGACTCCCCAAGGATGCAGCGCGATTCCTGATGGACAGTTTGGTCAAATCTTCCTCACACTTCTCACACTCTTCAATGTCCTTCCCTTCTCCCATGGAAGCACTGCGAACTCGAGCACCTTTGGACTCGGACTGCTTCGCCGTAGTCAAAACAGGAGAGCCCATCTTAACATCTTCTTCATCTTTTGATTCAGGCACTGGTGCTGACATGAATTCATCATCACCAATCACAAATTTGGGGGGAGACCCACTGACAGAATTATCACCAAACACAGCTTCTTCCTGGGCTGGCATGTTTTCCTCCGCTTCCAGCTTAATCCAACTATTGTCAGGACGCAACCTTGATTGCGAAGACACATGAGGCAAATCTCCTTGCACTTCAACCAATCCTCCTCCACAATCACTAATACTGATAACTGGAGATGCATTCTGGCTACATCTGCCTGCAGGACACACAAGAGTCGGCTCATCCTCCGCATCAGATGCGTACTCCTGCTGAATCATATCGAGGCCTGCTACCTCGCCGCTGGTAGCCACAGCCTCATCATACTGTGTGGTAAATGAGTATTCTCCCCTTGTCGAACTCTTCTTCTTGAAGCTAGCGTCTTGCTGGTCTGGGGTGGGTGATGGGATATCTGGCAAGGACTCCTCCAGGGAGTCAGTGCTCCGGGATCCCGTCTCTAGGTCGGCTCCAATGTGAACCATGTCTGCGTCTTCAAGATCTCTACCTGGAATATTTAGAATGAATGCTTCATGAAGATATTCACAAGTGCTAGTATTTTCTCCAAGCTCCTCACAGCGATAGCCCCGTTCGTGGAGCTCTCTATACTATCGCTGCCACTAGTCAAAGCTCCTCACAGCGATAGCCCCGTTCGTGGAGCTCTCTATACTATCGCTGCCACTAGTCAAAGCTCCTTACAGTGATAGCCCCGTTCATGGAGCTCTCTATACTATCGCTGCCACTAGTCAAAGCTCCTTACAGTGATAGCCCCGTTCATGGAGCTCTCTATACTATCGCTGCCACTAGTCAAAGCTCCTTACAGTGATAGCCCCGTTCATGGAGCTCTCTATACTATTGCTGCCACTAGTCAAAGCTCCTCACAGTGATAGCCCCGTTCATGGAGCTCTCTATACTATCGCTGCCACTAGTCAAAGCTCCTCACAGTGATAGCCCCGTTCATGGAGCTCTCTATACTATCGCTGCCACTAGTCAAAGCTCTTACAGTGATAGCCCTGTTCATGGAGCTCTCTATACTATCGCTGCCACTAGTCAAAGCTCCTTACAGTGATAGCCCCGTTCATGGAGCTCTCTATACTATCGCTGCCACTAGTCAAAGCTCCCCACTGTGCTAGGCAGACTACGACCATGCATGGAGTTGAAGTCACAACGGACTGACTGACCGTTGTTTGTCGTGACGCCGAATACTCTTACCCTAGCTTAATTATTTTCTTTCTTTATCAATTTGAATTTCTATTTCATTTCAACTATCATTGGTATAGTAAAAATGTAAGGGGGGAGTTGGGTGATTTTCTGTTAGTCTGTAATCTTGAATAAATCTGATCAAACAAACCAAAAGTTAAATTCATCTGAGAAATCTGGTCAGTTGTAAACCTTTTCAAAATTCACTATGATAGCATTCCCAAAGAAATAAACAAAAGTATAAGCGTTACTACATTTGGGGTTAGAGGGCATATTTCAAGATTCTTGTAATGGCTGCTTCCACACAGATAGCAGAGAGTGTTTCAGAGCATATACGTCTTCTCTGTCTTAGCAAATATCGCCCTGGGCGCTTATTAGAGCGGGGCGCTTATTACGTCAAATACGGTATGTCTACTCTGTCAACATAGTCATTATACAAGTTCATGTCAATGTTTTAAGAGTAACATTTCTGTAAACCTACTTTGTTCAAGTCACCAGACAATTATCTCCAAACTTTAGGAATTAACCTCAGGGAGATCTCATACTGTTGTTATGAACCATCTCAAGGCCTTGCTCAGAAAATGGTGGGCGTGTTTTTCCAGAGTGAGTGAGTGAGTATGGTTTTACGCCGCTTTTAGCAATATTCCAGCAATATCACGGAGGGGGACACCAGAAATGGGCTTCACACATTGTACCCATGTCGGGAATCGAACCCGGGTCTTCGGCGTGACGAGCGAACGCTTTAACCACTAGGCTACCCGACCGCCCTGTTTTTCCAGAGATCTAAGACCTGCTTACCTTTTCCCAATGATCGAAGCACCTCTTCCTCAGAAGCGGGGTTGTATCCTGACTCGAACATTCGGCGGTAGAGATCGTCTCCTTCTAAAAAAACAGCCTCACTTGCACGATCATCCTCTTCTTTTATGTCAACGAGATTCTCGGCCGACTGGGACTTAAAGATGTGTCTCTGATTGCTGGTGGAAAGAAATAACAGGTTTAGGATTTGTTTGGTTGGTTTGTTGTTTAACGCCACACTCAGCAATATTCCAGCTATATGACAGTGGTCTGTAAATAATCGAGTCTGGACCAGCCAATCCAGTGATTGATATCATGAGCATCGATCCACTCAATTGGGATCGATGACATGCATCAACCAAGTCAGTGAGCCTGACCACCCGATCCCGTTAGTCGCCTTTTACGACAAGCATAGTCGCCTTTTATGGAAGACCTATTCTACCCCGGAATCTTCACGGGTCAATAGGTTTAGGAAATACCAACAAACTTGATTAACAGGGAAATAGGCCCAGTGAAGTAGTCGTCCAAGCAAGTTGGATTCACCATAGGACAGCAGCGAAATACCGAACTATCAATGTAACGCTACCGTTTACCCTATGATTGTAAAACATCGATAGTAATTTAGAAACACCAATAGTATTGTGGATAGTTTATTTATCAATCGATGTCACAATTAGATATAACATATGGTGAGTTGAGCTGAAATAGGGTTTAACGTCGCGTCCAAGATTATTGCACTTATATAGCAATGTGCATGCTTGTGTGTGTGTGGCTGCTTGTACTAGTCCGGACTGATACCGAGTTATAGTGCTAGCCCACTGGGATACCATGCTGCAGTTTAACATGAATACCCCACTCAGACATAGTATACTGACTCCGAGCCGCCCCATCCTTGTTTGAGACCCTTAATGCTGAGTGCCAGGCAGGGTAACAACAAGAACCATCTTTTAACATCTTTTGGTATGATGGGGCCAGGGATCGAACTCCTGGCCTTCCGCTCTCCGGCAGATGCTCCTTCATTAGGTCAGAAAGGCGGTCAGCAATGATTTTTTCTGACCACTGTCATGTTAAGAACAGAACGTAACAACAAGAACCATCTTTTAACATCTTTTGGTATGATGGGGCCAGGGATCGAACTCCTGGCCTTCCGCTCTCCGGGCAGATGCTCCTTCATTAGGCCAGAAAGGCGGTCAGCAATTATTTTTTCTGACCACTGTCATGTTAAGAACAGAACAAAATTCGAAAACCAACTTAAAAAGGGCATTAATGTGCATCTGTTATAGCTTGACCTACTACACAGGATTATACAGTTAAGCAGTAGTTTGTTCAATAGTTGTGCTGCCCTCCAACTGTACTGAAGATTGGAGCTTAAGAAATCAGTCCCACTCACCTTGCGCTCAAAATGCGAGGATTATACAGTTAAGCAGTAGTTTGTTCAATAGTTGTGCTGCCCTCCAACTGCACTGAAGATGGGAGCTTCAGAAATTAGTCCCACTCACCTTGCGCTCAAAATGCCTTCGTATGTCCTCAACTGTTCCATGAAGCCATCATTGGGGCGGACAACATTTCTCCGCTCATGGACGTACTCAAACGCATCATCCAACGACCATTTGTTCTCCTTCATCAGATATGCTATCACCTGGAATAACAAATGACATTTTGTTTGTTTGTTGATTAATGACACAGTCAACAAAATGTCAGCCACATAACAGCAAATAAATGTAAATGTAAATAATCCAGTCTGGACCAGATAATCCAGTGATTGATATTCTGAGTATATTTATTGCTGTTTTATTACCCGTTTTGACATACTGAAATGAAAAGAAGCAAGTATTCTTCAATAGTTTGTCTTCAAACCAATTTATCCAAAGTGGTTTTCAGCCTCATAAGGTCAGACCTATTTGTTTTCTTATCTTAAGGACGACCAGACCCAAAATTTAGTGAAACTATAATGGTGATAACTTTGTCTCATTCATTCTGTATGACAGCAGACCTGTGAAGATCCGTGGTAGAATAGGTCTTCAGCAACCCATGCTGGCTGTAAAAGGCGACTATGCTTGTCGTAAGAGGCGACCGACAGGATCGGGTGGTCAGGCTTGCTGACTTGGTTGATGCATGTCATCAATCCCAATTGCGTGGATCGATGCTCATGATGTCAGTCACTGGTTTGTCTGGTCCAGACTGGATTATTTACAGACCGCCGTCATATAGCTGGAATATTGCTGAGTGCGGCGTTAAACAACAAACAAACAAACAAACTGTGTGACAGCAGTGACAGAAGTGCAGGTGTACTCACAGTTGAAGCTGATCGGCTGATTCCTCTCTTGCAGTGAACCAGCACCTTGGAACCATTTTTTCTGAAAACAATTGAAATCAAATGTCACATTCATTTGTCAGGTTTCACCATTATCATCATCATCATCATTCCCATCATCATCATCATTCCCATCATCCTCATCATCATCGTCCTCCTCCTCCTCCTCCTCCTCATCATCATTCTCATCATCGTCCCCATCATTCCCATCATCATTCCCATCATCCTCCTCATCATCATCATCGTCCTCATCATCATTCCCATCATCATCATCGTCCCCATCATCATTCCCATCATCATCATCATCATCGTCCTCATCATCATCGTCCCCATCATCATTCCCATCATCATCATCGTCCCCATCATCATTCCCATCATCATCATCGTCATCATCCTCCTCATCATCGTCATCATCATCGTCATCATCATCATCATCATCGTCCTCATCTTCGTCCCCATCATCATCCTCATCATCATCGTCCTCATCATCGTCCCCATCATCATTCCCATCATCATCATCGTCATCATCATCATCGTCCTCATCATCGTCCCCATCATCATTCCAATCATCATCATCATCCTCATCATCATCGTCCTCATCATCATCCCCATCATCGTCCTCATCATCGTCCCCATCATCATTCCCATCATCATCATCCTCATCATCCTCATTCCCATCATCGTCCTCATCATCATTCCCATCATCATCATCCTCGTCATCATCATCATCATCATCACCGTCGTCCCCATCATCGTCCCCATCATCATTCCCATCATCATCCTCATCATCATTCCCATCCTCATCATCCTCGTCATCATCCTCGTCATCATCACCACCATCATTATCATCATCACCATCATCATCATCATCGCCCCATCACCATCATCATCATCACCATCATCATCATCATCATCATCATCGCCCCATCACCATCATCATCATCATCATCACCATCATCATCATCCCCATCATCATGTTTTTTGCCTGGGAACTCAAGGAACTCTACCGACTGCAGGAAGGACTAACTACGTTATTAGGTGAGACACAGTATACTTCAGATCCTCCTATCATCATGGGTGGAGTTTGCTGTCTCTGCCAAGCACCGAGACAGGCCATACAACATACATCATACACAAACGTAGATTAGGAATATCCTCATCCAAACAGCAAGTCCTTACTTGGCTTTTGATATAAATCTGTAGGTTTTCTCCCAGTGAGGCATCAGTTGTGATTCTTCTACGTCGTACAGTCGTATATTCATGTACTTGAGCTGCCCCGGGAAGAAGTTGTCGATTTCCCTCGTCACATTCAGAATGTATTTCACACTGGAAAAAAGCACATATTTTAGCTATATAATGGTGGATGTAAATGATTGAGTCTGGACCAGACAATCCAATGATCAGTGAGCAGCTATCCACGCTATCGAGGTACAAGGACACGCCATCAACCAAGCTTAGTAGGGCTGGGACGAGTCTAAATTTACTACCCAGGTACCCAAACCCCTATTACCTGACCCTACCTGGGTACTGACTGTAGGTCTCAAGAGATAGGTACAAAATGTCCAATTGGGATTTTTTTTACCATAGCCCTGGCAAAACGTAAGAACATATTTAGAAACAGGTATCAAACAATCTGGTCATGCATACACTGAAGTTGACTTCAGTTTTATCTTTATTCAACCACAGTCAGAAAGAATGGGTGCATTGTCAGAAAGAAATGCGAACATTAGTGACTTGTAGTGTAACCATAGAGTTCTAGATATTTCTTATCATTAAACAGTATCATGTGACTAACCACGTGTCCGGGGAGTCCTGTGGGTACGTAGGTCCTAGTCAGTACCCACCCGACCCGGGTACCCGAGTTACCCGTCCCAGCCATACTGCTTAGCACACATTTATATGCAATTTGGGTGAGTGAGAACCTGTGTTTTGAAATGGGCCAGTACGACTTTTGACCCACGGTCCTTTGTCCAGTACTATTGTGGAACTATATCCCACACGGAACAAAAGCGAGTTCTTACCCATTCTCATTGAGTTCATCGATGTTGGAAGCGTTCCATTCCGTGCCCAGATACAGGAAGTCCAGGATCTGTGATGGAGCGTCCATCTGTCCAAGGATCCTCATCATTTCAGAGTCAAAATATTCCCGGAATCCGGTGACCTTTGCTCCTATTGCCTCCTCCACTGCTTGACGAAGCTGAAAGGTTAGGAACGCCAACAATGTGAAAGAATGATCATGAAAGATACAACTTCTACTGAGATCAATATAGAGAAACAGATATGAAAAGTGATCAAACAATTGCTGTTTTAAGCCACAGTCACCAACTTACAGCTTTACTTCCGAGATACCATGCCACAGTTCTAACAAGAATACCCAACTCAGACACAGTATACTGAATCTGAGCTGGCCAGTCCTTGTTTTAGCCCCTTAATGCCCAAAGCCAGGCAGGGTAACAACAAGCACCATCGTTGAACGCCTTTTAATATGACACGGCCGGGGATCAAACCCCGGACTTGCTGCTCTCCGGGCCACTAGACCACAGAGGCGGTTGCCACACTTTGGAAAGTTGATGTGTTTGATGTGAAAGCAACTCACAGATCTGGAAGTTGCGACGTCTAGGTCAACATTCATCATGACTTCTCTCAGGCTCCTGCTTATCCTGGCCTTCATCTCGGATGCCTCACTGGAAACATCATCATCATCATCATCATCAACATCATCATCATCATTACTTTCATTACATTTATTAACTGCAGGTATCAAGGTACTAGAACCCGCTCAAATGCAGTTTTATTCGTTCCACGTCCAGTGGATCCATTCGCATTCTTGTTATCATTCTCAACTCCCTGGGGATCATACAACCCAAGCAGCCTAGGGGTGCTAGGAGGTTTCTACATCTACCTTAAATATCGGGTACCGATTCCCTGCTGGGTGAACAGAGGCACATTTGAACGAAGTCACTTGCCCAGTATCGACACTCAACTTTCAGAAAACATCCAGCAATATCATTTAAAAAGGCATGCAGGGTTTCACAAACTGTATGAGTGTCCAAAACAAATTAGGCCAAAAGTCAATGGGTCCTTGTCATAATGATGACTGTTTCTTTGTTTGATGCCGCACTGAGAAATATTCCATACGAGTGATGATTTTGTTTTTGGGTACAGCTCCATCACTCACCCTGCAGTTGTAGTTGGCACCAGGCAAGACAGGTTAATCTCCACTCCCTCCATCACATTCCTGAAACAGTCAACACAACATAGATAAGATCCATCACAGTCCTGAAACAGTCAACACAACACAGACAAGATCCATCACATTCCTGAAACAGTCAACACAACATAGACAAGATCCATCACATTCCTGAACAGTCAACACAACATAGACAAGATCCATCACATTCCTGAACAGTCAACACAACATAGACAAGATCCATCACATTCCTGAAACAGTCAACACAACATAGATAAGATCCATCACATTCCTGAAACAGTCAACACAACATAGATAAGATCCATCACAGTCCTGAAACAGTCAACACAACACAGACAAGATCCATCACATTCCTGAAACAGTCAACACAACATAGACAAGATCCATCACATTCCTGAACAGTCAACACAACATAGACAAGATCCATCACATTCCTGAACAGTCAACACAACATAGACAAGATCCATCACATTCCTGAACAGTCAACACAACATAGACAAGATCCATCACATTCCTGAACAGTCAACACAACATAGACAAGATCCATCACATTCCTGAACAGTCAACACAACATAGACAAGATCCATCACATTCCTGAAACAGTCAACACAACATAGACAAGATCCATGACATTCCTGAACAGTCAACACAACATAGACAAGATCCATCACATTCCTGAAACAGTCAACAAAACATAGACAAGATCCATCACATTCCTGAAACAGTCAACACAACACAGATAAGATCCATCACAGTCCATCAAGTTTTTTACACTTTCATATTTGCTATTACCAGAAAGGGAGGTTTATAAAGAAGGCACACAAAATTTTCAAAAACCCAACAAATCCTAGTATTCTTGTCCTGGTGTCATGCTAGATGTCCTCTTGAAGTGTCAGGTTCATCCCTTCCGTCAGTTACTACGTCAAAGACTAGCACCAGCAACTAGCACTAGAAGGAGCAGATGCACTTATGACAGATGGACGTACAATGAACAACTCGGACTAGAAGGAGCAGACGCACTTATGACAGATGGACGTACAATGAACAACTCGGACTAGAAGGAGCAGATGCACTTATGACAGATGGACGTACAATGCACAACTCGGACTAGAAGGAGCAGATGCACTTATGACAGATGGACGTACAATGAACAACTCGGACTAGAAGGAGCAGACGCACTTATGACAGATGGACGTACAATGCACAACTGGGACTAGAAGGAGCAGATGCACTTATGACAGATGGACGTACAATGCACAACTCGGACTAGAAGGAGCAGACGCACTTATGATGGACATATAACTCCCAATTCGCACTAGAAGGAGCAGCCGACTTATGACAGACAGACGTAAAACACAAAACTCGTATTGCGAGGAGCAGACGCACTTAAGACAGATGCACATACAACTCCCAATTCGCACTAGAAGGAGCAGACGCACCATGACAGATGGACGTACAACTGATAACTTGCACTAGAAGGAGCAGACGCACCATGACAGATGGATGTACAATGACAACTTGCACTAGAAGGAGCGGACGCACCATGACAGATGGACATACAACTGACAACTTGCACTAGGAGGAGCGGACGCACCATGACAGATGGACGTACAACTGATAACTTGCACTAGAAGGAGCGGACGCACCATGACAGATGGACATACAACTGACAACTTGCACTAGGAGGAGCGGACGCACCATGACAGATGGACATACAACTGAAGCCAGGTCAGGCCGCCTTCACTTACCACTGGCTGACAAGGCCTGGTGTGGAGTTGTCCACCTGCGACATGTAGTACTGCACCCAGGTGTGAGTCAGACCGTTGGGGATGTAGGTCTCATCCTCGGCCACCTTCACGGCCTTCTGCAGACTCTGCAGGGCGGACCTGAACAACACAAACAACACAACAACATTAAAAATATAACAGTACGATCCGTAAATACAACAGCTGTGCATCAAACAAGTGGCGGGACTACTCGGGATAACTGTTTTTACACTCTAACCAGTAACCATAGCAACTATGGAAGTTGACTAGTATTACATAGCACATAAAGTTTTGTAGAATAAGTGAGTGATTAGTGCTTAACACAGCGGTTGAAACAAACATATTTAGTCCACTAGTCCTTATAATTCAAACATATAGCTAAACCCTTAAAAATGGCAAATTTCTACTAGTCCTTAGGATACCTTAACTATTGGGAAGTTGGGCAAGGAGTGTGGGACTAGTGCCAATTTCTAACGCTGTAAACACTGCATTAGCAATCTTGCAGCTATTTGTCACGAGAAAGTTTAGTTTAGTTTAGTACACAGACTGGATATTTACTATATCAACAGCAGGCTACAAATTACTTGTATAAATTATACATGAGAAACAAGCATCACAGATCCTTTCGTCATGATCATCATTCACGTCTGATGGCTAAAGGGAGATAACTCTGCCAGCACTCACCACATGGCTTGTACGGACACCGGCTTAAACAGGAACTTGTGATCATCTGCCGACACCTTTACACTGAAGCCCCTGCATAAAACAAACAAGCAATGGCATAACATTAGGATAGTGTGTTAAAAAATATGAACTGTTTTCAGGAAAAGCCTTCTGAAAAATGATGCACTTAAGCCCCATTTTCTTAAATCCGAGTACAAAATATTTCTCTCTTGTGACGTTATGAGGGTCTTTCAACTGAAAATTCCACATTGAATAGGATACTTCCAACAAATTGGTTTAAAGATACTGAATACTTTTTAAACATACCGTATTCAAGGTAATAAGCGCCCACAGCGATATTTGCTTATATATTGCCTAGAGAACAATCCCAATTAGCACCCCTTCCGATTGATCAATGTTCACAAGACTTATTTATTAGTGTATAATACACACTCCTAATCCAACCACAAAATTTACGATTTTTCCACTGTTTTTTTTCTCACCAAAATTATATTCTAATAAGATCCCCCCCTATTTCTAATTTTGAGAGCGTGAATATAGAACATGAATATCTCTGACAATAAAATCTCAGCATGAAACTCACCCGTCACCATCGAGTCTGATCTGCGTGCCGTTGTAGATGGGGAGGACAAGGCCGATGGTGGAGAGGTCCTTGACATAGTCGATGCCGAGGACGACGGACTCCTCTGTGTCCTGTCTCCCCACAGTGGACACTAAGGCCATGTAGCGCTGATGGCCGTCCATACTAGAGGGCTCCAGCTTGACCGCCTGGGCAATGATTCAATTTTAAGGACATGTTGAACACGATAGGGACCCTTATAATTATGTTAACCCAGTGTTTAAAATTCACGATAGTCCGAGACTACCAATGATGGTAGTCCTCATTGACTAGTAGCATTTGAACCAGTTCTCAATTCTTCAACTTTGCTACAAACTGGTCCTGAATCACACTGACAGAAAAACAATAAATACTTTGTTTTGTTCAAGCAGGACTTGGCTACAAACTCTGAGGACTTGTGAAATAAGGTTAACACTAGTCCTCTGGACTAGTCTCATGGTCGACTTGTGGTGGACATTTACAAACTTGATGCATCAGTGGCCAAAATGATGTGAACAATTGACTTGCCTTTGCATGTGTTTGTGATGGTGCAACTGGTGGGTTAAGAAATGCTAGCTCTCTCTCTCCTCTCACACACACAAACACACACACAAACACACACACAAACACAAACACACACACCACACCACACCACACCACACCACACCACACCACACCACACCACACCACACCACACCACACCACACCACACCACACCACACCACACCACACAATTTCAGAGGCTGCAAACATGATCAGTGGATCCTTAAACCACCCTATGAATACAACTCTGCACAAAGAACTGCGGTACCTAAGACAATGTATGACTGACAATGCTGCCTAAAAGGAGAAGTGTCAAGTGTTGCATATGCTATACTTACGACTTTAATGCGATCTTCATGTCTGAGCAGGTACAGCATAGACTGTAGGTGGTGCTGGATATCGCCTGGAATCAAATTTAAAACATTAGACAAACTTAACTGTGGACTGATATCTACTTCTACTGGCCAAGAAACATGTATGCTTCTTTAATTCATCATTAAACCTTTTAAATTATAAATGTACACAGCTGTAACATTTTTTTATAACTAATATTATACTTCCATCAACTTTTTCAAGAAGAATTCCATAAAAGAATTCCATGTTTTGTCTCTTGAGAAAGACGTATGTTGTCAGCTATATATGGATATCGCATGTGGTCAGACATCAGAAAATTCTTAGTATTAGAAACAACGAGAGGTTTCTATTAAAATATCCCCATTGCAAATATCTAATGCACGCAACATAAGTCCAAATGCATGTCAAACAAAGCATATGAACAAGAATGTCACACATACATGTGAAGAACTAGGCTTAGAGCAAGGAGAGCTACTCAGGCCTTATTTGTTTTCATCAGCAGGAGATTTTTTTTCAGAGTCGTCTAAAGGGCTGTCTTTCAGTCCAGACATGTAAACAGTTCTACGTGATCAGTGTATCAACAGCATCATTTCTCACAATAAGACTCATAATGAAATGTACAATTAGGTGGAGCATGTATGTGTCCAGCAATTAAGGAAACTCATGTTGGACTGTCATGGTGTATAAAAAACCTATCTCACAACAGAGAAAAAGCATTTGATTCCTTGTCAATTTGCTTTTATTCTGGATGATAAAGAAAGGCTTGTGACATCAACCACAGCTTTCCTGGCAGCTGCCACAGTTGACATGTGAATGTATATTCTTTCTGATAGTTTGTTTCTTGGTCTCGATCCAAGGTTGAACGTAGTCACGTGAATCAGTTATTATCCTTATCATGCAAAGTAAACAACTGACTGAGCAGGAAAGTCTAAGACCATGGCCCCATTTCACAAAGCGATTTGTAGCCTTACAACTAACCTAAGTCAATGTTGAAGTATAGCAGTTACGATAGTCGTAGCACTGTGATCTCTTTGAGAAACAGGGCCCAGTCTATGACAGTCATAAGTTTATGCTAAAGTATAGCAGTCACGATAGTCATAGTGCTAAGATCTCTTTGAGAAACAGGGCCCAGGGCTATGACAGTCGTAAGTCTATGGTAAAGTATAGCAGTCACGATAGTCGTAGTCCTGTGACAGTCGTAAGTCTATGCTAAAGTATAGCTGCTATACTTTGAGTCATGATAGTCATAGTACTGAGATCTCTTTGAGAAACAGGTCCCAGGGCTATGACAGTCGCAAGTCTATTCCTAAAGTATAGCAGTCACGATAGTCATAGTACTAAGACCTCTTTGAGAAACAGGGCCCAGGGCTATGACAGTCGTAAGTCTATTCTAAAGTAGGCTAAGATCGCTCTGTGAAACAGGGCCCACGACACCAGTGTAGCTCTCACTAGGTTTCTACAGTCAAGTCGACAGTCTGCACCCAGTCCGATGACAGGGGCTTGCTAGGTGTGTGACATGGAGTTAGACCAGAGCTGTTTACTAGGAGTTAACCTTAAAGCAAGTCTGTTGACTTTTGTGGGACAAATTGACTTGAACAGGAGTTAAAGGGGCAATCACTGTCTAAACTAGGATGGATCTGGCCTGATCAGGGTAGATAATGTTGTATACAGTCTTTGAAAATATTCTATATTTGTACAAATTAGTCTGGTCAATGGTAGGAACTAATGTTAATTATAAAAGATAGGTCATTGAAAATTGTAAACTAGGAACTGATTACCAAGAACATCATCATCATCATCATTAGGAGTGTGACGATACATCACAATATCGATGTATTGCAATTGTTTGTCCTACGATAGTACTATTTCGATAGGAATTTAAGAATTGCAATAGTATTGTCAATAGTATGCACAACAATCGATAGTTTCAAAGGTTGGTGTGTTGGTTAGCTAGGATTATGACAACATCAGATAAGAGTTACTTCCCTTGCCTTGAGCAGCAACAGGGAGGAAAATGGCTGGCGTGGACAGTGTTGGCAATACTTTGTTTATTTCTATTTCTATTACGGTATAATTATCAAGCCTTAAAGTTGGTTCAACAGTATGGGCTACAATTGCAATAGTGAAAATAGCAATACAATCGCAATAGTGATAATAGTCTCCCCTAATCATCATCATCATCATCATCATCATCATCATTGTGTGCTTGTGGGTTTCACCGAAGTGGTAACCGTCTTAGACCTGCATCACTTCGGGCTTTCCTCCCACATTAAGCTGACACGCCACGATATAACTGGAGTACTGTTAAAAGCAACGTTAAACCCAACTCACTCACTCACTCATCATCATTGTATGCATTAAGCGCATACCTTCTTGGAATGTAGTTTGGCATACCGGTATGCTTTTATTTGCTATCATCATAATCACTACATTGCTCTTTTGGGGAATCCCAGATATTGTACCCTGACAGCGTGGGACGTTGCTCCTAATATCAATCACTGGTTTGTCTGGTCAAGATTATTTACAGACCACCATAATATTGCTGGAATACTGCTGAGTGCTGCATTAAACAAGCACACAGACAAAGTAACTTTTCTTTAAGAAATCCATTACTTCATAAAAGCAATACAAAATTGAAAGTCGAACTATTACCTCAACTGACCTCATGAAGTCGTATCCCCAAAAGAGACCAAAGTTCATGAACTTGGTCAACAAGAACCTCAAACATAGACTATTTGTGAGAAAGAGACTTTCTATCTTGAAAACAAAGTCCAGTGTTGTAATGTAGAAAATGGGTGACCTGACCGGACCACAAATATGAACTGTGCCCCTCGTCAATACAGAGACATGTTCGATGGCGTCTTCATTCAGGAAAAAGAACCCTAGTTCCTTGTTTGCCTCATTGGGGGCTGTGTGGGCATGGATGGAGGCTTGCTATGGAAGCGGTGTCACGTGAACTGACTTGTTGCCTCCACTAACTCGGGCTTCTTCCGGGTAACTGTAGACTTGCCAAGTCTCTAAGGCAATAATTGTTAGTTTAAACCATAACGTCTAGATTATGTACATAATAAGAACAAGTTGTCCCTATAAGAGACTGGAGTCTACATGTCTAGACTTGCCTATTTGGAGGATAGGATGACGACACATCCATGGACTTTTCTTTCAGTACAGCCTTGGAGCAAGGCTAGGGTAAATGGGGAAATTGGACTGAGCTAGTTAAATATTCAGACCATCCTTGAATAGGGGTGAAACTAACATTTATGCTTCCATTCAGTGCAATCCACTTAGCATTACATAAAGATAAATTATTTACAAAATGAGTGATCTAATGCTCTGTTACAGTGATTTGTTTGTTCGTTGTTTAATGCTGCACACAAAATTCAAGCAATTTGATAGCGGTCTGTAAATAATCTGGACCAGACAATGCAGTTATGATATTGTGAAGGACGATTCACGCCATAGGGTAGAATGCCACAAAATCCACCAAGTCACAGATATTCTACAGGTTATTACGTAAAACAGTTGACAACATTGTCTTCACAGCTGTTAATTCACTCTGGACGAGTGAGTGAGTTTGGTTTAACGCTGCTTTTAACAGTATTCCAAACAGCGTGTCAGCTGAATGTAGGAGGAAAGCCCGAAGTGATGCAGGTCTCAGATGTTTACCACTTCGGTGAAACCCACGAGCATGGGTATGGTGCTGACAAACCTAGAAACATACTTGGGGCGAACCGGGATTCGAACCCACAATCATAGGTTTCTGGCTTGCCCAAGGGATGCAACTCTGCACAGCGAATCGCGGCGCCTTAGACGATTGGGCCACCCGTGTCCCCGTTATTGAGTGGATGAGAGTACATTTATATGCATGTTACATGCACAGAGTCAAAGTTTTTCAGTCTCACCCCCATGGCTCTTTTTCGATGATCTCCGAGGTCTTTCTCCTTGTGGGAGGATGAGAGCTGCCCCTCGAACAGTGAAATAACTCTCACTCAAGCTGAAAAACACAAAATAGTATAATTATATTCAGGAGAAGGATCTTGTGTCAAGCTCTTAAGAACATTTTCTTAGTTTCTGAACATGCTGAAATGATTCATTAAGAAATAAACAAATCAAATATATTTAATTTTAAAAAGTTATAAAATAAAAGTGGCTTAGAAAAGGATTTATATAACAGCATTTTAGACAAATGATTGCAATCATCTAAACATAATCTTAATAACAAACATATTGATTCATTATTTTACAAATGACCACAGGCCTCTACAAAGAAATGTTCAATTCATCATCATCATCATCATATCTTTAAACACACGCTCAACTGAAGTTTAAAGGTTATTTGTACCCAAAAAATTCAACACGCCATTAGAAACAAGTCTTCAAATCAAACCACATGCTGCTAGCTTGTTAATGCATCCAAGAAACAAAATATGTTTCACAAACAAAAGTTTAAGAAAATTAAGATGACCAAGCAGCTTTTAAACCATGGACCTATTAAACATGACTTAATTAATTGTGCGTAAAACATTCATAATATTAAAATCCCCCAAATCATGTTCATCTTCCCCCATGTAAACTGCATTCCATGTCACAAACTTGTCTTGTCACTGAACACATTCTCAGGGGTTCATCTGGACCCACTTGCACAAAGCGATCTTAGCGCTAAGATAATTGTACCTACCATACTTTAACATAGGCTTACAAGAGTCTTAGCGCTAAGATAATTGTACCTACCATACTTTAACATAGGCTTACAAGAGTCTTAGCGCTAAGATAATTGTAACTACCATACTTTAACATAGGCTTACAAGAGTCTTAGCGCTAAGATAATTGTAACTACCATACTTTAACATAGGCTTACAAGAGTCTTAGCGCTAGGATAATTGTAACTACCATACTTTAACATAGGCTTACAAGAGTCTTAGCGCTAAGATCGTTTTGGGCAAGTGGGCCCTGGACCCGCTCAAGGGCTAAATGTCAGCCCCAAGTCTGAAGCAAATGTTAGTAAATGTTCCCAAATTGAAATCTAAATGTTCCAAATTCATGTTAACAAAGTTATAACTAATGTTACGGCTTTGTAGGGGTAACTGTATATCACTGATAGCAGGCCCAATAAAGAGAAAGAGGCTTTAAGGTATATCTTTCTCATTATTGCATGAAATTATCTCCGAATAAGTGAGTGAGTGAGTGAGGTTTTACGCCGCTTTTAGCAATATTCCAGCAATATCACGGCGGGGGACACCAGAAATTGGTTCACACATTGTACCCATGTCGGGAATCGAACCCAGGTCGTCGGTGTGGTGAGCGAACGCTTTAACCACTAGGCTACCCGACCGCCCCACCCCCGAATAAGAAACAAGACTAGACTAGACTAAGGACTAGAAAAAAGTACAAGAATCTGTACTTTACTAATAGAGTTTTATCCTAAATCTAACATTTATTACATTTGTCCACTTTCTAAATCGCATTGTGTGTTCATAAGAAATAAGAACTTTTCAAAACTCCAAAATTTGAACAAAATAATTATTTCACTCCAAGTAGCCTGGATGAGTAGTTGGTTTAGAATCCAAGAAAAATCTCTGCGTTCTTTTACATTACAAACAAAACTATCCTTTCAAATAATATTTCTAGGGCTATGTATTCCACCTGCCAGATGGAGCAAGGTCTCGAAGATCAGCCAATGCTGGAGAGACTGACAAAAGATGGAGAAAATGCTTTCAAATCATTTCGTTTCATCACATGCAATCTGCCATTGAATTTCCATTACAAGTCCAGGCTTCCATGCTAGAGGTTCAGCTAACACTGGCGGGTGTGTTAACTTGGGTTTTCCTATCAAGCCCACGTAATCTCCCATTGAAAATCCAGGTCGTTTTCTATTGAAACGGACACGCAGAGTAAACTCCTAGTGTTGTGTTTTCCTGGACAAAACCAGCTGAATACGTAGGGTTTTTATAGGCCAATTCTTGTCCGTCTTAGCAATATGTTTTGCTGGAAAAATGTAACATGATTCTTGTGCAAGCTATTTAAATGTTTTGCACTGCTGTGACTTGAAAGATCGCCATTTTGACAAGCATCCTAAAAGAACACTATTTGCTGATCTTTCTTTTTAAAATCTTTTTCAGTTACAACTTGTGTAACACTTTATAGATCAAGAGGAACCGAAACACAAATGGCTGCATTTTCGTACTTAGACAATCTTTCTTACGTTGTCAATTAGTTCAAAAGCTTGAATATTTTATGTGAATAATACACTAATAGTTAGGGATCATGAATATTTTTAGGTGAATATAATATATTTTTTTGTTATGAAGACTGAGCGCACAATTACATAAAAATAACCCCAAATATATTCATAATCCTTACCTGTTTTTATACACAATACATTCTTATAATTAACCATGGGAATTATTTCACATTTCTTTAATAGAAGAATTATGAATCAATTACATAAATATCATTATTTTTACAGTAATTATGATTATTACCATCATCATAATAATTATCATTCTTACACATGTTATCAATATTATCATGATATGTGGTGCCAGATTAGAAAAATAATTGTAAAATATTTTAACATGTTAATCAGCTTTAATAACATATGTGATAATAATTAATAATTATAGTCAGTTCTATATACTACTCAAAATAAGTTAAGGACCAACTGATTATTTCATATTGCTATAGTTAATCTGTTATGCCATGACAGATTAACTATAGCAATATGAAAGAATCACATGGTCCTTAACTTATTTTGAGTAGTATACATTACATATGGATATATGAAGGAACACAAAGGTAAGGAACTATCTAGCCTGCTTTAGTGTTACAGGTAACACGTTATACTTTTTAATAATGAAATATTTCTCAATAAATGTAATTTCCAATAATTAAAAGAAATCTGTTTGAATACTTGATTGTTTGCTGTTTTAACGACACACTCAGCAATATTCCAGCTATATGACCAAAGCCTGTATAGAATCAAGTCAGGACCAGACAATCCAGTGATTGATATTGTAAGGAACTATTTACGGTGTCCATCAACCGAATGACTAAGGGACCACCCGATCTGTTGTTGCCTCTTACGACCAGCATAGGTTCCTAGGCCCATTCCTAACATGAAATCCCCATGGGTTAGTTTGGTAACAAAAAGATGCTGAGAAGAATAAAGTATTTAGATTGGGGAAGTGAATGAGGAGGAAGGACTGCTGAGAACATCCTCAACTGTTGTGTATTCATCTCCATTCTATCAAAATAAATACTCTGGACCCAATCGCTACCAAAGTGCCATTTTGAGTCTGCTTCTAATGACACAATGCTAAAACGAACGTCCATATAAAACATTGTTTGCCTATCATTGAAACAATCACTGATATTAGCAGTACTTAACTCCCCTTTGTGCTTCCTGTTCTAAATAAAGTGAGTGAGTGAGTACGGTTTTATGCCACTTTTAGCAATATTCCATCAATATCACGGCAGGGGACACCAGAAATGAGCTTCAGACATTGTACCCATGTCGGGACTCGAACACGGGACTACCCGAGGAGATAATGATGCTCAGTTAAAATATGAATCATAAGTCTTTTGATATCTATCAAATACAACACTGACTCGCTCATAAGGGGCCACAACTTGGACTTTAGATGTACACTGAACTCTCCTTCAGAAGTGATTTGGATTGGTTGTCTTCAAGCTCATGGGCCAGAGAAATCCTATTCTACCTCAGAGGCAAGAGAGATGGCAGCATCACTGTCAGAACACAGCTAGTATGGAGTTACAGCATGTCATGTTAGAGCATACAAAGGTACATGTGCATATTCTTTAGTGTTAATTAGAAAAAAATAATTAAATTTAAATTTATGAATGTTGAACAGCCTATCCCTATTTTGGCATTGGATATGTCAGAGTAAGTTGCTTTTGATGCAATTTTTAGTAATATTCCCTCCATCTCACAGCAAGGGACATGGAGCAAAGGCTTGTACAGATTGTACCCATGTAGAGAATCAAACCTGGCTTATCTGCATGAGACAATGCTTTACCCGCTGGGCTACCCTGTGCCTAACAGAATCATCACACTGCTATGACATAATACATTGTTGACAGCAATCAGAGGCAGCAGAAATTGGGGGCTTGAAGCAGGAATTGTATTAGTGTTACAACTGAATAAAAATGGTTACATCAAATTTATCTTGGATATAAATGTAAATCACATATCAGATATCTTGAGTGAGTGAGTTGGGATTTATGCTTTGAACAGTATTAGTTACACAAGAACATGTCAGCTTGAATGTAAGAGGATTTGTTTCAGCAATATTCCAGCTATATGTAAATAATCGATACTGGACCATACAATCCAGTGATTGACATCATGAGCATCGGTCTACGCAACTGGGATGCGATGACGTACATTAACCAAGTCAGCGAGCCTGACCACCTGATCCCATTAGTCGCCTCTTACGACAAGCATAGTTGCCTTTTACAGCAAGCAAGGGTTGCCGAAGACCTATTATTCTACCCCGGATCTTCATGGGTCTGATTGATGTAAGGGGAAAGGCCAAAGTGATTGGCAAGGATGCTTACTCCTTTGGTGCAACATATGAACATGGGCACTGTCCTGACCATGCTGACCGAGGATCATAACTGGGATTCAAACCCCTAGTCACCACATCCTGGAACAGCTAAGGGACACAACTCTACACAGAGAATTGCAACACTTAAGTCCTACCCGTGAGGCCATCCAAGACTGGACATACTATAAATGAAACCCTTTAGGAACAAGCCTTTAACCAACTGCTAAAATCTTAAATTCTAATACCTAAATCTTGAATTATACTGCCCAAATGATGGAAAAGATGATTGTCGCTACACATGCGGACATGGACACAGTAGGATGGAGACGTTGTTAGGTCACACATGAGAAGCAGGAACAGAAGGGAGGCAGGGTTATTGTTATCAGGATTATAAACGCAAACATTTCCATGCATATGGCGAAAATCT